AAAATTATTAAATTAAAAATTGAGTTTTATCAAATTTCTCGTCGGCCTCTAGATATTGGACAACTATAAGTACCTTTTAATTTTAATAAAAATTATAAAATTAAAGATACCATCAAAAATTATTAAATTAAAAATTGAGTTTTATCAAATTTCTCGTCGGTGTGATCTTTTAGATATTGGACAACAATAAGTACCTTTAAATTTTGATTTAAGAATTTCTCCGAAATTGGGATATTAAATGATCTCTCATCGTCTTGCATAGTTAGAATTCTAATCACAGGTTTTAAGTATTTTACTAAATAATTCAACGCTGCTCTTCATCTATCGACCTTGATTTTTGGGAATCATGCCATGTTTTGAAAAATTTTAATAATCTAGTTAATGATCTTTGTAGCATTCTATTATTTTTCATTATTTGGAATCTATCATCTTAATTTAATTTCTGAATTTACCCTAGATTTCTCACTTATTCCTCAACACTTTTTTCTTATCTTCCTTATATTATTATCTGGTTCAAGCTTGTTACTTTTCTCCCGCTGGTTAAACTTCTAATTTTTTCCTATATTGCAGCTTTTTTGTCTCATTACTATTCAACTGTCATTTTGTGTTTAGACACTGAGAAAAGTTTTTGCTTATGAATTTGCATAAATTTATATAATAATATGTCCATTTCAAAACCATTATTCGTATTTAACACCAGTAGATTTGATTTATTTAGACGTAGCACAAATCCTAATTTATCCTGAATCGAACTAAGTTGAGATTTGAGAACTATAGCTAACCGGGAAAAGATCGATATATAGATTAGATAGCTGGGCTAAACTCTCTTAGACAAGACAGCTATTTAATAAAAATGGAGATGAAAATTGTTAATTTAAGGTTAATCAGTGTGGGAGAGTTTTTAAGAAACACATATCTTCAAAATTAACGACAGAAAAAAAAACCTTCCGTAAAGAATTTTTTTGTTACTTGAAATATTACTCGTTACAGTTAAACACTTTTGTTACAAGTAAGGAAAGCGCTTCGGAAAGTTTTTTTTAATAGGATGGAGCATGGAGTAAATATTATAAGGATTCTTAAACTGCACTGATAATTATGAATTTTTTTGAAAATTTCTTTTTGATAAACAGAGAGGTGTGAAAGCGGAGTAAAATCAGTGCCTAGAATCACCATTTACGAATAGGTAAAAAAATTTGTCAAGGTATAGTTTGTCTGCTGCGAAAACTCCCCCCGCGACAAAGTCTGAGGCCGTCTGCTGCTATGAAAACAAGAATAGCGCATTTCAAGGAGGGTAGCTTCTTTTCACTCTAGGACAAACACAGTACACCGAAGAAAAAAATTCTCTTTCTCTCTTCGACCCTAGCCGCCGAAATCTGTCCTAAGCAATAACCCCACACCTTTACTTGAAATAATTATACCTCGTCATCATAGTCACCACCACTTGTCGAGATGAATGACTAGGGGAGTTCTTATTTTAGACAAACTATAGTTTGGCCTCATTTAGACTTGTTTGAGTAGCGGTGTCCTTTAGAGGTTACTACGAAATGCAAAATTTATCTTAGTTATTTTTTGAGGCGATATTTTTTCTTCATTTTTACAGTCTATATTTCTGTTGTTGACTTAGAACTGAAAAATGGACTTAGGTGATTAAGAGGGTATTTTTTTTTAATATTTTGTTTCGATATATTTACATATTTTCGTGATAGGGATATTTTTCTTTTCAAATTTATTATTATCTTCAATGCACAGCTGCACAAGAAAAAAGTAACATACAAGATTCTTTATAAGCAGGGATCCAGACGGATATTATTTCAGGAGGTTTGTTTTACTTTTAATTAAGTTTTTTTTTACATTTTTTAATTTTTTTCATTTTGAGGGGATACGTTTTGGAGCATTTTTGTGATGTTACTTTTCCTGCGAAATTTATTACATCTTAAAGTCACAAGTAAGTTCAATTTAAAAAAAATTACAACATAAAAATAAATAAAAGTAAAAAACAAGGAGAAAACACATTAGTATTCAGTGTTTTGGTTAAACTAAAACGAGAAAATTAAATTTTTTTGAGAAGGACTATTTTTGAAAATATTTTTGTTGAAATAATTTCACTTTTATTATTTTAGAGTTGTTGACAGCAGACATTCATCTATTGACGCCTGTGTTAGAGACATTTATCGTGAGATTTGTACTGAGTTTAGTTGTAATTATTATTTTCATTGGTTTAAGAAAGAATGTTGTGAATATTTTCAATGTTTTCCAAAATGCGTCGGGGGATCTGTTTAAGTGTGAAAGATTGATTTTAGGAAAGATGGACACCGATCAGCTAAAGTTGGGGTCTCTAACCTTTTCCTTCAAGGTCCATTTGGAAAAAAATTGGGGAATACATCGCTGACCAAACACCTGCAAGTTAATATGAGCGAATATTCTCCTTTTCACGTGAGAAATTTTTCGAAGTACACGTCTATTGCTCTTTAATCAAATGTATTCATGCTTTCGATTCTGTGTTTTTCATTTGACTTACTGAGGGAGTACATATCTCGAAAATTCCTAGGGAAACAAAATTAAGCTCAAATTAAAGAGACTGGTTAAAAACCTTTGATAAGATACAAATTAGCAGCAAGATTTGTCCCCAGGCTTAAATATGTCCATTAAATTTTAAGTTAATTTACTTTTTAGCTAACGAAAACTTTCAGTTAGCGTGTATTCGTGATGTACTGGATAGGCTGTCCTTCTATCTGAGAGGTCCGTTTTTCAAATTCTTCTCTGTCAACTCAATTTTATATCCAATTTTGTTTTCTAATAAGGTTGATAACTATTTAATATGTTTTACTCGATTCATAAATATTCTTTGATTTAAATTATTTTTTAAATAATTAAAGTTTTGAAGAAAAAAATAATGGATATTTTTTTTATTTTTTTAATTAAAAAGTATGGATTATTTTATAAAATTTTGTAACTTAAAATTTAAGTTAAAATATTCATTTTTTTGAAAGAATCTATAGATTTTAATTAGAAACAAACAACAATTAGATTTTTGTTCTCAAAAGATAATTTTTTTAAAAAACAAATAATAATAATTTTAATTAAAAAAAATAATTTTCAAAACAAATAAAACATGACAAATATTAATTGATCTTCCCAGAGAAAAAATTCAGAGATAAAATTCAACCATCCAATCACTGATTTGACCTCCGTCCAGACTTCTAGTAAGAGGTGCCCAACCTAACTGTTTCACCATGAATACACATCACTTGAAAGTTTTAGCTAGTTTAAAAGTAAATGTACTGCAACTTTAATGTATACATTTTTTCTGGTGGCTAATTTGTACCCTTAGTTTTTCAAGAATTCTTTTTAATTTAAGCTTAATTTTGAATAGAAATTTTCAAGATATCAATGGCTGTTTACGCATTTAAGTTCTACCTAAGACAAATGATATAACACAGGCGTGTTTTCATGTTTTCGATTATTTCCCTCTGGTACGCGCAGACAGTAAAATAAAAATCGATTCATAAAGTAACTTCAAGATATTTTTTTTCTTTCTTGTTGGGTTAGGTCTTTCTTGCTGGATTAACTTAAACAAACCTAACGTAAAATTTTTTTCCTAAACATCAGCCACTAATTTTTCACTCCTAATCGTTATCATCTAAAGTAATTGTCATTATAAGATAGTTTCCTTTTTCTTATCGAACTCGGTATTTAGGTACTTCCTTTAAGTAGCACTAGAGATGCACAATAGGCTACTGGCGATGGTCTGGGAAAAATTCCTGAGGATGAGCCGAAGGCATGCCATCACAATTTTGATCCTCTGGAGAGGGGATGGTTCTTCTGCTTTGGTAGCCCGACAACCTGTGCGAAGTCTAGCACTTATCGAACTAATAATTTAAATTGAATCTGGGAATATTGCGGGCAACTGAAATACCATCAGAGAGCCGCTAGTGACAGGCGAACCACGCGTCCGAGAATCTTAAACTAGAGCAGTGTTTCCCAACGTGGGGCCCACTCCCCACCGGGGGGCAATTTGATTGTAAAGGGGGGAAATTCAAAAATGCAATTACAAATGCTCGACATGAGTTAAAACCTTTTGCTCTGGGCCATTTAAATGCAATGCGAGATTTCGGTGGCAAAATCGAAAGAAAAAAGCAAATTCTTAAATAATTGAGGTCAATAAATATTATGTGACTTAGGGATTTTTTAAGCGACAAACCTGAAATGAAGTATCTGTTTACAGTCGATGGTAAAGCATTTGTGAGTTATTTAGCCAATATCCTTGAAAAACTGAATATCTTAAATAAGAAACTTCAAGGAACAAATAAAACTCTTGTTGATGCAAAAGCGATGATATTTGGCTTCATTACCCTTATTGAGTTATGTCAGAAATATATTAACAACAAAAACTTTGAACAGTTTCATTGGCTCCAAAAATGTGAAGTAAATGATACCGCTTTACTTGTTATTGTCTATCATCTGAAAATTCTAT